CACGACAGATCAGTGAAGGTGATTGGCCTGAGATAAGGGCCAAGTCCTTATTGGCCCTAGAGAGCCAGACCTCAGGCCTACGTGTTAAATGGTTGGCCAGGGCCAAAATAATGGGTGGAGCCCTGGGGCTGTATTAGATGGTGGGAGGAGTAATCCTTCCCAGCAATAAGTTGGAAAAACTAAATTTCATCAGTGTGTCTTGGGAGTGTATTAGGAACAGGGCCGCAAGCCCGTATCCTCGGGGCTGAGGGCAGCCATCAACATCGTGGCCGTAGTGCGGGTATTTAAGGTATAGTGCACTTGAGTTTTGTGTCCTCGGTAAATATCCATTGTGCCTCTAGGGAAAATAGAATAGGTTATGTGTTCAAATTGTCTTAATTTACATGTTTCATAAAATAAATTGTATAGCTTGTCCAGTGGTATTCACTTAACTCCCCTTTGATATATTTTGCTACTTTGTCATTTTTAGGTGTTGTATTGGAAGCCCCCATGTTCTCCTACTATTAATAGATACTAAAGTTGCCCTTGGATTCAAATAAGTAACGTAAATTACACAAACTAATTTTCCAAAATTTATTTCTGAAATTCATATTACCCGGAGTCCCATGGTTACTGATTCCTTGCCTTCCTGGGGGATCGGTGATCGACACATTCAGGTATGGTTGGTCGGGAAGGTGGTGGCAGTGCTTTAATGGTTTTTATTTTATAATTAGTAATAAGCGAATAACCCTTGTCCTTGGTGTATCTTCCTCATTTAATATTCCTCTTATATACGTGGCAGTCCAGTGAGGGGTCATGCTGGACTGTAACAGCGTTAAGCTGGGGTATTGAGTGAAGAGAGACGGAGAATTACAACAGAGAGCGTATATTACGATTATGAGAGATCACAAGATAACAGGATTAATACTGGGGAACATTGGGTTATTACAATAGAGGCCGCGGTTATTACCACAGGGTAAGCGGTCGTTACAATGGAACAAATTTGTGTCCAAGACCTCTTCCTGTTACTCAATTTGGCTGTGTGTAACCAAACTAGAAGTGCTCTACAAATCAAGGGACCCAGAATGTGGAATGACCTCCCGAATCATGTCAACGGCTGTACCTCTCTCAACCAGTTTAAGAGTTAAACCAAGTACTGCCTAATTAACTCCATGTAACCTAACTTACCTCCTAAATGTCAACCCATGTCTTGCTATTTTTTAAACAACGCTGTTCACCAACATGTGCAATTGCTGATTTATGCTATGTTAACCCCCTTTTTGTATTTTTTATTCCTTCTTTCAACACAATTTATACCTAATCCCGATTACTATTAAGTTTTAGTCTGTTTTTTTCCCCCCACACCTTGCCCGAAATGCTAGAATATTAGTGGCTTTAGGTATTGTATGTACTAGCTCTGCCTATAAATCCAACATTATGTTTGTAAATCAACTGTATGTACTTTTCCTGAATAAAATGTATTTATTATTTATTTTTTAATCAGTAAGTATTAAAAGAAGGCACCAAGCTGGGAAGGCTATGTAGCACCATTGTGTGTAACAATAAACCAAATTTTTTTTAACAAATAATGCACCTGTATGGGAAAACAAATCCTGTCAGCTGTAAAAATATTGATGCAGTTATTTAAATGAAAAATATAATGAAAGAAATATTACTGGTTTATTTTTTCCTATCTTTTTGTACTGTACAGTATATCCAAGGAAGTGAAAAATTGAGACATAATGCACAATTTAATGAATGATTAGCATGGATTAGCAGTTCAAAAGAAATATGACTTGTATTACATATCAACATGAGATCTTAATGATCCATGGTCAACATGATTTAATAAGGATAATACAGTACTGTATTTGTAATAATACAAACTATAATTTAAAATCTTTATTACTGATTTTTTTTATTAAGAAGATTAGGTATACACAGCAATGTGCTGCTACCCTATTCTATATGGAATATTACACAGTGTAGATAAAAAACTAGCTATAAGTTTATCTAATACTCCCATCTCACAGGATGGTTAGACATACTGTACATGGAATCAATTTAGAAAATACCAGCCTCAATACAAAAAACAAATCAACTCTGACTAAACAACTCTAAGCAATTTTCACAAGAGGTAAGCACTGAATCATGGAAACATTATATTATAATTACTCTTACCAGTTTCTACAAAACTCCTCTCAAACAATGTATTTTTAAACATGTTTAGGTATACACAGCAATGTGCTGCTTCCCTATTCTGTCTAAAGGACCACACAGTGTAGATCAAAAACCAGCTACAAGCTCACCTCACAGGATGGCCAGTCATACATGGAATTAGGAGAGAACAAAATACTTAATGCTGATCTATTAGCCTCCACTGGCAAAATCTGGGTGCAGCACAAGAATATCTTCCAATATTCCTGAGTGTATGAAGTAATTACAGAGTTCAAAATACCTCATACCATTTGGTATGAAGTCACTGATAACAGGACAATCACAGATATAGTGTTGGAGAGTATGTTCTCTCAAGTAGGACTGAAAACAGATGTTTTTTTTCCACCAAGAGGGCTATAAACCCATGGAACCGCCTACCCGCTAAAGCCGTAAATGCCAAATTCCAGCTAAAAAATATAATTAAGACAATTGGCGGGCCCTTCAACAAGCCGCCGGCTTTCTGTCCTCTTCGAGGTCACTAGATAGTTAGTGGCCCTTGGGTAAATTCAGTAAATATATACAATAATTGTCAGCGCATCTTCCGAGCAACAAGGACAGCTACACAGTATCTCTTAGAATTACGTAGGTAAACAACAAATGTAACATATTTGTTTACTACAATGTCGGTGCTGGCTGTAGAAGTTGAAAAAACATTGTTTTACTTCGAAATATACTAATTTTATAAGAAAATTCGACGTAAATAGGAGGCAGTAGAGCTGCGATAAGCCAGCGCTAAATCTTCAATATGAAGAATGTTGCTGCTCTCTGATTGGCCAAACGAAACACAGTAGTGACCTCTATCGGCACGCAGATGAACCAACAATTTTTCTTCCTAAGTATACCTTATTGAATCGCACCTAAGCATCTTCTTAGGGCGCACTTAGGAACCTTCGTAGCAAACCCACTTACGAAGAAATACACAGAGCTTCCTGAATCTAGGTCCTGGTTTCAACAGTAACAGATAATTGTTGGCAATATGTGATAGAAAATCCTAACAATTCTGCTGTCGTTGTTTTATTGTATTCTGTAGACCTGCTACACCATTATATACTTCATTCATTCTTAAGTTATATTTCCTTACAGTCCATTAATATTTCTGGAAAAGTTTTAGCAGTTAGTGACAGGTGAATGCACGACAAAGAGCTGATTGTGTTTGTAGGATGGGTGATTACCTTCACACAAATTGCATTATTCGTTTGTGAATTAATTTTTTTAAGTGTAGGTACGGAAATCAGACAAGTAGAAGAATTGAAATGAGTACCAGAATGGACTATTAATTGTGTAAGGTTACATATCAGTCTGAGATTATGGTTTGCTGTATGTCTGAAACATGAATTAAGGCAGACAAATATACTTATCTTAAACATGAATTAAGGCAGACAAATATACTTATCTTATATATTGCGTAAACCTGATAGTCAGAAATATCACGAATGCTTAGATAACATTTATTACGTTCCATACTGAAGTTGCATTGAAGTGTAGTTGTGTTATTATTCATTACACAGTAAAGAAAAGTATGATATATGCTGGAGTTGTTAATACATTGCCAAGAGCGTCTTCAGAATCAAATGTAAGGATGGTATTTTTAATATTTTTAATAACACTTATAATTCATTCACAAATCATTACGAATTAAAATGATAATTTTTCTCAAGATCACAGTGCATATGTTAATTTTATGTTAACAATGTGCTCTATTACTATAATCTATCCTGATTTCGAACCCTATTAATATATTTTGAAAATATTTATTAACAAGGATAAGTGATTCTTATTAACATGCGCTGCAGTTATTTATACAGTTTCTGGAATAACCAGTGATGTTGAATTGCGAGAACAACAGTGGAAAAAGGAAAACTGGTTGATAACTTTGGTTTCACTTGAGACCTCCTCAGATACAAGCACATATTGACACCACAAGGAAAAAAGTCACATGTTAAACCTCATCACTCCATAACTAGTAAATAAATACATCCATATAATAGGCACGACGGACCAAACATTAATTTACAGCTTTTGATACAGAAACGTTTCCATCAATGTATGTGTATGTATGTATGTATGTATGTATGTATGTATGTATGTATGTATGTATGTATGTATGTATGTATGTATGTATGTATGTATGTATGTATGTATGTACAAATCCACAAGGGCCGTGGATTTGTTCATATGATGCATCACGGTATTGTGATTTCTGTATGTATGTATGTAATGTATGTATGTATGTACAAATCCACAAGGGTCGTGGATTTGTTCATTTGATGCATCACGCTTGTGATTTCTGTATATGTATGTATGTATGTATGCTTAGCTTGATAACAAAGACAACAAGATATATATAGGACATAAAGGACAGTTAAAGCTATAACTGCAATACAAAATCAATGGCGTTGTGTGCATTTGAAATATCTAACACTGCCGCGGGATAATATAGATTATACTATACTGTTATTTGTATTACTTCTAAATACAATGTTGTTATTTGTAGTTTTTCTAAACACAAAATTGTTATTTGAATTAATTATATATTGATGAAGCTTCTGGCAATAATTTTTGATACCGTTATCATGTTATTGTAAGAACATGACGCAGCTCATGTTATCACTGCCTCTGTATCTCACCAAAACTTATTTTTAAGGAATATACAAATACAAATATACATCGAGAGGTATACCCAGCTTCTTGGTGCATATATACACAGAGTTTACTTCAGTCCTGGCTATGTTCAGGACTGAAGTATCCTTACTGGTTGGTCAAGCCAAATAAAACCATACAATTATAACCAAATAAAACCGTACTTGAACTTTATTGCTGTAGTTGCAGGTTAGGCCGAGCGGGCTGATGGAGCACGGGGACACTAGGCTTGTTCTTCGGGCTTGTTCAGCATCGTTGATGACAGATAACATCAACACCACCAGTACCACTGATGTCTTCCTCATTACACACATCTTCCTTCTGTTGATTGCAATCTTAATATTAATATGCTACTAATGTGGCCTTTTATATTCAGAGAACAAAATTAAAATTCTGCTATTCAGGATATAAATAACGTTAACATATATCCTGGCATGTGTATATAGAGAATTTAATTAAAACCTAATTCATGTTACAGATGAATGTATACTTGAGGCTTAAAAACAGGATACACTGTATCCTTAAATATGATCCTGCCAGTCGAATAGGATTCAATACTCACCATCACTTGAGCAGGCCTTCAGCATGTCTGGGAAGATTTCTCAAGGTACTTTGAGTGCAGATTGACGAATTTATTGACTTTTTATTGCAGTGAAAACACTAGAATTCGCTCTATCATATATTATAACAACCCTCATACAGTTTCCCTTACCGTGAAAAAATAACATTTCTGCCTCCTGTGACAAGCTGAAGTGTACAATGCAGTATATGAATATCAGGATAATTCGGAGGACTGCTTTGCATTGTGCACACTACAAACACTCCGAATAAGCTTCTCACACTTAATTTGAAAGCAATCAAGAAATAAAAAAACATCACTCACTAATTCTCAACACCATCCTGAATCGTAATCATATATATAGGGGTACCACCTCAAGTGCAATTGTAGGAACCCATAGCCTCAAAGAAGAAAATAAAGAGTGAACAATGGGACAGTGATGTGGTGGAGGCAGATTCCATACACAGTTTCAAATGTAGATTTTATAGAGCGACAACAGATTCAGGAACCAGTACTCCAGTTATTAATTGACAACTGGTGTACAATGAAAGAGCCAAAGCTCAACTCCTGCAAGCACAACTAGGTGTGTACGCATACGCATATACATAATTTTGTGGCAAAAATAGAAAACACACACAGATGTGTGTATGTGTAATGTGCGTACGTGACATGTGTATGTGTCATATGCGTACGTGACATGTATGTGTGTGTGTGTGTGTGTGTGTGTGTGTGTGTGTGTGTGTGTGTGTGTGTGTGTGTGTGTGTGTGTGTGTGTGTGTGTGTGTGTGTGTGTGTGTGTGTGTGTGTGTGTGTGTGTGTGTGTGTGTGTGTGTGTTTTATGAGATAGAAATATATAGATATTTTAAGAAAAGATAGTTTCTTATGATATAATCAAAAGATCCGGAACATCCTGTCGCCCATTGCGTCTGACAAAGCCACAAAACTCAGTGCGCCTGGCGTAGCCACAGAACTGAATGTGTCTGGCGTAGCCACAGAACTGAGTGTGTCTGGCGTAGCCACAGAACTGAATGTGTCTGGCGTAGCCACAGAACTGAGTGTGTCTGGCGTAGCCACAGAACTGAGTGTCTGGCGTAGCCACAGAACTGAGTGTGTCTGGCGTAGCCACAGAACTGAGTGTGTCTGGCGTAGCCACAGAACTGAATGTGTCTGGCGTAGCTATAGAACTGAATGTGTCTGGCGTAGCTACAGAACTGAATGTGTCTGGCGTAGCCACAGAACTGAATGTGTCTGGCGTAGCCACAGAACTGAATGTGTCTGGCGTAGCCACAGAACTGAATGTGTCTGGCGTAGCCACAGAACTGAATGTGTCTGACGTAGCCACAGAACTGAGTATGTTAGACGTAACCAGAGAACTAAGTGTGTCTGGCGTAACTAGATAACTCAGTGCGTCTTGCGTAACTAGAGCTCAGTGCGTCTGGTGTTACCATATAAATCAGTGTCTGGCTTCTGGCGTATTACGGGCTATTCATGCCCGTGCCACCTCTTGGGTGGCTCAATCTTCTGGCGTAGCTACATGATGAAGACGTCACTGGAGCTTGTTGCTCTGATTACTGCTGCGGTTCAGGTTTGCTCAACAGGTAAGTTGACTTACGTCGTGATAGTGCTTAGTACCAGGTTCTTAGCCAATGGGCGGAGACCTATAAACTGGGTCGCCACCCTTCATTGAGTGGGTCCCCAGGGATCTCCTGTGACCGTATTATACAATATATGAAGTTTCTGAAAGCAAAGTTAGCCGAACTGGCATCATTACTAGAATTTGAGTCATAACCGAAAATGTTCAAGAAACGCTTGTAGGATTGTCACATTTTTTGCTATTTACATTTGAGCGGCTTATAGAACCAATTTAGTTGTTAGTATAAACTGATTAGGCTTTTCCGTGAATGTGATGTTGTGTGCCAAAAGGCTAATATTGTTGGGTCTTTTCACAGAGATTGTTGCACCAGCGGCGTGTTCCCTCCATCTGCAGACTGACGAAACACCAGCCACAGTCGCCTTCCGCCTTGGTGATGAATACTCCATCAACTTTATTATCAGCGGCTCTGGTGTGGACTTCATGATAAACAAAACCGAGAATGTTCTCCGGACCACTTCTGTGTCTCAAAACAAAACAATTTATGAGGCACCGATTTATAAAAGTTGTTCAGGAGAATGTACATATCTGAACTTCTCGGCCAATACAAAAGTCTTAACAACTGAAATATGGTGTAAAGAATGGAAGCTTGATATTCCTATTTTGTCCGGGCATAAATCGGACGAAAACATAACTTTGACATGGCAACACGTGACGGGAGAAGCGGAGCTGTGTGAAGGGTACGAACAATATGATCCAAAGGAATGCCGGTTTAAAGAATCAGTATTTAACACCGTCAGAGCCATAATTATATGCGTCAGTTCGGTAGTGGTGATGGCGATGGTATGCACCGGACTGTATCTGGGGAACCACAAGTTCGGCTGGCGTGTTAGGCTGCAACGAAGGACCACTTGGAGACTAACCAGGCACAGCCTCCTGACGCTGCGGTTCTCTTCTTCCACTACCCACACCACCGAGGACAGGTCCGCCAACACGAACACTGTAATGCAAGAGAACCTCGCGATGAACATACAAGGCGACAGAGTGGTCAATAGGAATGCTCGGGATATGCCAGCCAATACAGAGGCGGCGCCTCTCAGATTCGGTAAAGACTGGTCCATCAGTGGAGAGGCTGCAGACCACTCTTGTGAAATCAGCTTGTCAACAGGACCTTGCGAAATCCTTACAGCACAAAGCCATGCTAGTAGTTCAGATTGTGAGAGCAGATTACCAAGCAAGGTCAAAAGCAAGACACGCCGAGAAGGATTGCTGCATCAGGAACAAAGAACTCTCTCAAAAAGCAGGTCGTCACCCAATGGAAACAAGCTAAGGAGAAAAAGCAGGTCACGTTCTGAGGATAGGTCAACCCATAAAGACAGATCACTTAAGAAAGCAAAGTTTAACAGAGATGAAAAATCGCACGGCAAAGGAACGTCAAACCGAAACGACAAACCACTACATGAAACAATTTCAGCAGATTTGAAGCCCCCAGCCCTGCTGCCCAAGGAATGTAGCCACAACCAACACACTCAGAGTCAAGTGGTTGATCGACCCCAGGACATGTATTCATCCTCTTCCTGTAACATCATCGAGGAAAATGACATATATATACCCTTCCAGACAGTGAAGCAGGTAGAGGCACAGGGAGACAACACGTATGAAAACCTTTGGTCAAGAGAAAGTTATTATATAAATAAAGGTGATTCGTGAATGTTTAAAGTTGTAAAATGTTTTAAATTAATGGAAGGGAATAAAATAGCCTTCCTCATGTTCATATGAACCCTTTTTGCTTTTTGGTTACATTAGTTATATTCTAAGTGATAACTATACCGTACATCATATAACATTATTTAGGCCAATTGTAGATTAATTTATCTTTAAATAAGCGCACAAATAATGCAACAAGATAAATAATTTAAAATTTAGATTTTTTTATGTAGGTTTAGAGACATATTTAGGTTTATTTATAAATGTATAATAACTTGCACTTATAATTTTTTCATCATAAACTTATTGTTCCAATGAATTAAATGCAACGTAATCATACAAATAGAACTGTGAACAAATATATATCTTAAACAATTCAATATTTTTCTTTATTATGCACCCCCATACCCCTCCTGTAGGCGGCAGTGGAAAGGGTTACAAAGGCACATATTGAGTTCAGAAACTGAACCCCATGATTCATTTAGCTAAGCAAGTGACAATCTTTTGAAGCTAGTTACACAATTGTTAATGTTACATACACGTGTACATATATATACAATAATTTACACAAATGACTACACATCAATAATGTTTTAATATCACAAGTGATTCAACAAGAGGCTCACAACAGTCACTATACAAGGCACTTTACATCTATGGTAAGTCAAACAGTTACTAGTCTTGCTCCACACCCACCCCAACTGGGCGGCAGCTTTACAGTCATATGCATGCATCACCTACAGTAAGCAAAGTTTGGATACTTCGCTAAGATTCCTGGCAGCACATCATTGAGAATAAAGTACTTACACATTTCTTGGACTCCATTCAAGCTGTTTATCTCTGAATTCCGCGATTTTTTTTTTTCTGATGTAATGTCGAAAGCAAACCTTTCAGGTTCGTTCTCGACTCACAATCAAGAATTCCGGGTTCGAAACCCGGGCGGCACAGAAATGATTGAGCGCATTTCCTATTACCTAATGCCCCTGTCTACCTAGCAGTAAGTAGGTACACAGGAGTTAGTTTGTTGTGGGGTTGCATCCTGGGCGGGGTCAGTAATTCGACCTTTACTTTACAATAATATATATATATAATGTTACGGCCCTCTCGGGTCGCAACCGGGTTCTTTCTCTGATGTAAGTAGAGTTTGGGTATCCGGCCCCAAGCTAGTAGTGGCTTTCAAGGGATGTGATCCGTAACGCAAGTAAATAAAAGGGGAAGGGAAATAAAGGCAAAAACTTAATAATATAATTACTGCCACATATAAATAATATATAAAAGGTTACACAGGGGGAGGGGTATAAACACTATTATCTACAAAGTAGTCTTCGTCTGAAGACGCGGAGTGTTCCACAGTGCTCGACGATGCTAAGGTCCTGGTCCTCTTGTGGCCTCACGACGAATCCTTCGATTCTCTGAGTCTACCCTGGCCACAGGCCAGCCAAATCACAGTTCCACTGGGGGCACCGTCATGGAGGCCATCAACCACAAGTCCAGCCGGTAGCTGGCAGGTTCCAAATCAGCAACGCTGGTTAGGCCACTCCACGACCGATACTAGGGTAGCAAGCCCTAGTCAGGAGCCACGTGTGATCCCACAGACCACTCTCCTTGCCACAACGCCCCAGTGGTTAAGCGTCTCCACCAGTCAGTCCCGGGTACGACAATCCTTCAGCTGCCACTTCACAGGCAGGTTAACACCACAGTGTTCATCCGGGGGGCGACTCACAGCTGCTGCAGCAAATACCTGGAGACAAGACGGGTGCCTTGGGTAGACTGATCCAACGCTCGTTACAGCAGTCCCAGGTCGACTCTGTAATCAAACACGTCATCAGTGAGAGGGACAGTCTAGGGCATGTCACTTACCGGCTCAGACCCAAACGCCCACCTATCCACTCCATAGATGGCGTTGCTGTCTAAGCTCCACCTCACCAGAGGTCAGCAGCGGCTGTGTTATGAGCTGATCAGGATGGGAAACTAGCCCTTGTTTCTTCTTCTAACCTACAGTAAGCAAAGTTTGGATACTTCGCTAAGATTCCTGGCAGCACATCATTGAGAATAAAGTACTTACACATTTCTTGGACTCCATTCAAGCTGTTTATCTCTGAATTCCGCGATTTTTTTTTTCTGATGTAATGTCGAAAGCAAACCTTTCAGGTTCGTTCTCGACTCACAATCAAGAATCCCGGGTTCGAAACCCGGGCGGCACAGAAATGATTGAGCGCATTTCCTATTACCTAATGCCCCTGTCTACCTAGCAGTAAGTAGGTACACAGGAGTTAGTTTGTTGTGGGGTTGCATCCTGGGCGGGGTCAGTAATTCGACCTTTACTTTACAATAATATATATATATATATATATATATATATATATATATATATATATATATATATATATATATATATATATATATATATATGTCGTACCTAGTAGCCAGAACGCACTTCTCAGCCCCTACTATGCAAGGCCCGATTTACCTAATAAGCCAAGTTTTCCTGAATTAATATATTTTCTCTAATTTTTTTCTTATGAAATGATAAAGCTACCCATTTCATTATGTATGAAGTCAATTTATTTTTATTGGAGTTAAAATTAACGTAGATATATGACCGAACCTAACCAACCCTACCTAGCCTAACCTAACCTATCTTTATAGGTTAGGTTAGGTTAGGTAGCCGAAAAAGTTAGGTTAGGTTAGGTTAGGTAGGTTAGGTAGTCGAAAAACAATTAATTCATGAAAACTTGGCTTATTAGGCAAATCGGGCCTTGCATAGTAGGCTGAGAAGTGCGTTCTGGCTACTAGGTACGACATATATATATATATATATATATATATATATATATATATATATGTCTGTATATATATGTCAGTCTGGTCAACACCAGACTGACTCAGTCTGGTGTTGACAAAGGCTTTAACAAGCCGAAACGTTCACCTCATTTCATATTTCTCTGGATTTTCCGCATAAAATGATCAGTGTTTTGTGATCGTCAATTGCATTTATATATATATATATATATATATATATATATATATATATATATATATATATATATATATATATATATGTATATATATATATATATATATGTATATATATATATATATGTATATATATATATATATATATATATATATATATATATATATATATATATATATATATATATATATATATATATATATGTATATATGTATATATATATATATATATATATATATATATATATATATATATATATATATATATATATATATATATATATAGTGTTGAATATGACCGAAAGGGTAAGGATTCTAACATGAATCTTCTCAATATTTTTTCTGTGTTCACCTGACCATGTGTTGGACTCTGCTGCTGCTGGTAAGTTTTGATCATCATTTTGCATGATGGGACACTCACTGGTTACTTTGATGATTTGTGGGACGCTGTGAACATGTATTAGTTGTAATTAATGCGCGCAAGATGATCGGAGTGTTTATCGTAGTACATCTTGGAATGTGGAAATCTCAGGGATAAGGTATGTGGAATTATGCACACACAACCAGTATATAATGGATGAAAGGCGAAGAAAAATAGACAATGAAGGATTGAAAAGGATATCCTCAGCTACCAGTCGTCTTACTTAACTTACCTAAATTTGGACACTATTGACATCATCGTCCAAAATGTGGTACTTTAGTGAAATTTAACCAACTCAATTTGTACGCGTTCTTGCCAGTACAACTAAATGGAATCCACCTACATAAGCAGAGCCTTTACCACCCACCACATGCGGCCAAGCCTAGCAAACATTGGCGCTGACTCAAGTCCCGCCACTGGCCGCCCTCCATCATGATGGTTTTGGGTTTTGATGTCCAAAGGGCTTGGAAAGGACGGGGAAGAAAGACGGAGTGATTATTTTGAGATGATTTCGGGGCTCAGCGTCCCCAGGGCCCGGTCCTCGACCAGGCCTCCTTTTTGCTATACACCCCCCCCTCCCCCAGGAAGAAGCCCGTAATTCCAGGGACCTGCCTGAAACGCTACGCGTACTAGTGGCTGTACAAGTATGTAACAACTCTTGTATATATCTAAAAAAAAAAAGGTACCTATTTACTATTGTGTACCTATTTACGGATGTGTAAGTGAAAATCTGGAAATAAAGGATGTGGATGGAGAACAAGGTGGATAAAAGTTCGGTGGCCTGTCCACTATGGATTGGAGCTCTGTGCTTGATCATGGTTGGCGGCAGGTGGCGCGGGGTCTCCGTGGCGGGGAGTTGTCCTTCGTTCTGGTGCTGTTTCTCAAGTTACGGTGTTGTGTGGGGCCTTATCTTCGTTCTTAATGTTGCTGTTTACCTTTTTTTTATTAATCGCTGTCTTCATGGACTGATTCATCGTTATCATGTGGCCTGTATCACTGTCGGTTGGTACAGCTTGTAGTTATCAGGGTCGATGATTTCGGGGCGTAGTCGGGTGATATCACATGCATCGGGGATAGTCTTGGCCTCGATGTCCCAGACGGTGACCCGTCCGTCGTTTCGGTATTGCTGGTAGACGCTATTGTAGTGGAGGGAGTACGATTCTCTGACTGCCGGAGACACTCTGCCCTTGCCGTGGTTATCCCAGGCGACGTACATCTCCTTTGCTGATTCGAGTCCTCTAGTTTAGTTGCACTGTACAATCCGTGGTGTCGATTGCTGAGGCTTCAGCTTCAGTAATAGGGCTGGTTCCTTCATGTGTTTCAGCTTCAGTAGGTGGGTTGGATCCTTAAGGTTTCGCTGAAGAAGCCGGTGGTTCGGTGATGAGTGGTACTGAAGCTGTGGGTGTTGAGGCTGTTTTAGGAGCAGGAGTAGTCTTCAGTGCAGGGGCGCGCTATGCGTTGCAGGAGCCGGGAGTAGGTCGTCTGGTATGTTCACGGTCGGAAGGCCATGAGAGGTGAGCAGTCTATTGATTATCTGAACGAATAGGCGGTGATCTGAGCCAGCCAGGCTGTCTGCCGTGTGGGGCAATAGGTGTATGGTGCTGTAGTCTGTGGGCCGTGATGGTGACTGTGTTACCTATCGTACGTTACGGCTCGTGATCCTACAGCAGCCAACTTTAATTACGTCTAGGGATACGACACAACTGCTGTTCTCAATAGCGAATCACCAGTATAACCCCTTAATAAGTAATGAGCACAAAAATAGAATCTTCATAGGACTGAAGAATAAAGACAATAATATTATATAAAATTATATTAAATAAATCTCAAAAGCAAACAGATGATTATATGGTCACAATATATCACATTAAAAATATCACTGTAACTTCCAGACATTAAATCAATATTAATATATGTATGGCTATGACAGAACAAATGAATGACTTAACTCCAAGATGTTATCTCCCTGGTTCCCGTCCAGCTAC